CGGTATATATAGTTATCAAGCGTGCGTAAGCAACGGTGAGAGGTATTGCAACTAAACTAATGAATATTCACTGGGAATATTCTTAGATGATGCTTGGAACTTTTAGAGGATCATTCTAGGAATATTCCCAATGAATATTCCTAGAATGAAGCGGATTATTCCTAGGCGATAGGGAATATTCCTGGAATATTTTCGAACCTTCATTGCAGTCTGGGCCGGCGAACACAGAAGATAAAGAATCGTCCTTTTTCTATGGTAGCGTCCGTTAAATATGATGCCATGATTGTTAGGTACATGCAAAGGGTTTTCATGTTTATTTGCTTCATTCCACAGATTGTAAAGGTTCATTCGCCATCATTGCTATTTGTTATATGTTTTTCATAAAGTTTATTGCCAAGTTATTGTTTTTGTGGTTATTTGTTTGAGGTCTATAGTGGTAAGTGAATATTTTATTAATTTTCTAATCATAGTTATCATTTTAAATTGTATTGGTCTAAAACTAATACAATTTTAAATTAAATAGGTACCTATATTTAAGTGCAATTTATAAACTTTCGGTTAGCATTGAAGGTAAAACATTAAAGGTGAATAGGTACATGCATGCATTTATATACTGTACCTTTATTTGCAAGCTATACCTACATAGGCTCGAGGGTAACAAATGGGCTGATGGATTGGCCAAATTTTGGGGATCATAAGGAGACAGGTGAAATAGGCCCTAAATGATTAGGCTGATAAAAAGGCAAATGACAGCTGGAGGAGTGATGGCAAGCCAGAGACTTCACTTCTTTAGTTATATGTAGTTTTCTGTTCTATTTTATGTTTTCATAAAAATAAATATTTAAATTAAAGAATAAGACTTTTATTTTAAAACCCAATGTTATTTATTGAAAAGTAAATATCCATTGATTCACCATATCCAATACAGATGACAACCATATTGCATACAATACTATATCCACTGGGTATCCATTGGATATCCACACTATGTCCAGGAGGGTCGGACATTTATATATCCAATGGTTATCCATTGGATATCCATACAATCTCCATATTAAATACAGATTACAACCATATTGCATACAATACTATATCCACTGGGTATCCATTGGATATCCACACTATTTCCAGGAGGGTCGGACATTTATATATCCAATGGTTATCCATTGGATATCCCGGATATCCTATGTATATCCTGGATATCCATAAAAGAAATCCATTGGATATCCATTGGATGTAATTGTTCCGTGTGGGTACCTATTAGGTACCTTAAATAAAATAGCTTGTTTTGATTTTATTTTGTTATAGCCCGTTTTAATTTTAGATAGATCTTCTCACTATTCTACGTTTTCCCGAAATTCAGCATAAGGGGTAAATAAAATTTTTTTGGTTTAATTCAGATAGTGTTTATTAGTCACAATAATACGTAACAATAGTTAACACCTGCACTCGAGCTAATAAACAAACAATAATAGTAATAATAATAACAACTAATCGTTTTTATCAAATCTACAATTGAACAAAAAATAAAATTTATTTTTATAAAATACACACACAGATAGTATCAAAATATCATTTAATTTGAACAACTTTTAAATGGAATGACAAGAGCCAATATCTATATAAATAAAACCGTCTTAAAAACTAGTTAAGTACAGACAGAGAAGGAGACATAGGAAATATACAAGAAAAAACAATTGAGTGCAGTAACCATTGTGAAGATACCTGTTTGGGTGGGCGGGAACTTTGGCCGGGCCGAAGTTCCCGCCCGGGCCTCAAAATGTATATTCTTGGGAAAATATACATGTGTACTGGAAGTGTGTATGCAACAACTTGAATTCCTAATGAATATAAACAGGTAAATAGAATAAGATATAGTAGTAGGTACTGTGCAGCTACAATCTATTAAAGTACCGATCATTCACGTCCAGTCATCTTTCATACATAATATAATAATAATAATAATAATTTTGTCCATGTAAACAATCAGTACCTTGCCTATGAATAAATAGTCAAAAATTATCTACCTTATAAATACTACCGTTTTAACTGTATTATATTTTTAATAGGTTTTAAAGCTTATATATTGAATAATTACGAAATCATAAGTCCTACCTAAATCAATTTTTCACTACAGTATATTTTAAATTCATTTTAAGGTTAGGTAATCTCAAAGATATAAAATTTAATTTGAATATATACTTGTTCAATAAAACTTTATCCTACAGATATTGATTTTTTTCTTTAAAATACAAATTTACATTTTTTTCTTCGATATTTTTGGTGTTGTATTAATCCTTTTACAAAAAAGATCCCCATTCAACATACCTATAAGCTTCGCTTAAAATATTTACAAATAGTCAGACTTTCTTATAATAGTGTCCATACATTCTGCTTTTTATTTTTGTTTTTACTACTAAGGATTGTTGAGTTTTGATTGTTTCACGTAAATTTTTCATCCTTTAATTTTAACATTAACGTTAGAATTATAATAAAACGACTTCTATAATTGAAGGGGTAAGAAGTAAAAGGGTACAAATGCAAAGAGAAGTAGAGTTATTAACTTTAAGAGTTTTTGCTATACACAAAAATCTAAATACTTGTTTCAATATTGTTGTTTGCATAAACATGCAGAACTCGTACAATTTTTAGCCCTTTGCTTCTTACCCCTTCAATTATAAAATACCTACAAGGATTTCGTATAAACAAAATAAATAAATAAAAATAAACTTGGGTTATAAAAGAAGAAAAGAAGGTGGTAATTTGGAACCATTTTCATAATATAGTTGTCAATTTTTGTCGATGAATCTTACGAGTTTTAAACATTAACTTTAAGGCATTTTAAAAATGTTGAAACATTTTCAGGTGTACATATTATAACCATTTTCCCCATAAATGCAATTTGATGAATATTTCATAAAAATTATGTTTATAATGTCCATATTGCCACCCGTTTATCTAACGTTTTGCCATATAATAAGTTTTTTTGTTTGAAATCTTATTTTCTGTATAATTTTAGAAGCGATAAGTTGTTTTAAACTGAAAAACACCGTTCATTCTAATGACCCCTTTTATACTGGACAAATATATTTGATTAAAAAATATTTTCAAAACGCTATTCTACAATTTGCCTATTTAGGTTTAGTTTAATCTGCAAAACTACGCTAAAATTTTTTGCTATGCAATATAGAGATTATTAGAATTTTTTTATGTATTTTAAGCCTTCTGTTTATGTATAAATATCAACATTTAAATTTACATAATACTTATACTGTCTTCAGAAATATATTATATTTATTTATCGTTTTTTAAGAATAAAATTTAAAAAAACAAACAACAGCTATTTACAAAGGAGGGACTCTTATAAGAAAAAAATCCTGCCCGCAGGTACGATTTTTCTATTTCACAAATTGTTTTTAAATTAAATTACCTCCCAGAATAATTGACTAACCTTTCTAAGCATCAAATTCCGTTAAAGTCCCTTAAAACAGAAATAAAAAAATCGAAATTGTTGCCATTAACTCTGACCATGGAAAAAATTAATAATAATAAAAACAAAATATTAAGATGTTAAAGATTAGGCCTTGCCTTCGCTGCCCGCACAAATTCAATTTAATTGAATTTAAAACAAAAACCAGTGTGTTCGAGTAATAAAATGTGTATTTATTTATAATAAAACAGCTTTTAGTGCCACATTGTATTATTTTGAAATGTAAAAAAAGTTGTAGAGGTGACAAGTATTAATCCTTGGGCAATTTATATTTAAAAAATATTTTAAGTGGCTCAGGCGGGCTTGGCCAGTTCCTGAGCACAATTTTGCGCGCGCGGAATTGTGCTCATGCGTATTTTGCTGGCACCGTTACAGGCAGATTATATTATTCAGTTTTTCTAGTAATTAAGCGCCTTTTTGTGTGGGAAAGAACCATAACAATAAAACAAATGTTCAAAAGCGTCGAAGACTTGGGAACTTTAACAAAATGATAAAAAATTTAACAAAACCGTTTGAAAACAAATTGTGCATTCTTCACATTGAGCACCAGTAATTTTTTTCTTCATCTCTTTACAACACACAAACCAAACTATTTATTTACACGACCCCAAATTTTACCACTCATTGTACAGCAGGTTAATAATTATGACTATAGTTATATATGTATATAATTTCTATATGCGATTTTTATTTTATTTATTATACTTTATGATATGTATGAGCGAACTTTATTAAAATGTTTTTGGAAAGTCAAGCCCTACAGAATTTATACGGACCTAAATGTGGCTCTATAACGAAAAAATGTTTTCGATATGATTTCGTGAATAAAATAATTGTTGGAGTTACGTTTAGATCCATAAAACATAAAATACTTGTGTATTGCTTTGGGATAGAAGTTACAAGATATCTGCATACATTTTTAAGACTACTTACTAAAATGGCAGTGAAAAATAGTTAAAATAGTCTTAGATATACAAAATTTTGCTGTATAGAACCTTGAAATATTTCATCTACCGCTGAAATAATCAAAGATGAATTAAGATATATACTAAAATACTAGAAAATGTTCTACCGATTGGTTAACACTTTTTCAAGTAAATAAATGTAAACGTTTCACATATCGTTACATAAAAATATTAAGGTGTAAATTTGAATAAAATGTGTTTTATAGATTAAGTTGAAAAAGTGCAATCCAAATACAATCACAGCTCAAAAACCACACAGTTTAAAATAATTATAATTAATTAATTAATATAGTAACAGTAATAAATAAAAAATGTTCGTACAACGTCTAATTTTTCATCTCACTTTTGTTGTCGATCCTAGCATTCTTATAAATGCATTGAAAATTACCAAATAACAGCCAAAATAGACATTGTAAATATTATTATATAGAATATATCAGAGAGATATATTGTTTTAGACTACCAGCAAGTATATTACAAAATTATAAGTTTTACCTGCTTATTATGTCTATTTAAATTTATAATTAGTTATGTTATGTGTTTGCTCATTTCTTACTGTTACACTCTTTTGATTCTTCCGAGCAGTTCACGTTACCGGACCTAAAAAAGAAAAACAATATTAAAGTTGCAAAAATGGCGAATGCGCCGGGATTAATGAAACATTTTATTTAATAAAATTTATTTAGGGGACATCCATTAATTACGTGAGATAAAAATGGGGGGAAGGGTCCAGCATATTCTCACCAAATCTTCTTTTAAGGGAGCGTAGGGGGTCCATTAAAAATCTCACGTCAACTTTTGAGTTTAAAGAATGAGAATGTCCGCAAAGAAAGTTTCATATCTCACCAAATCTGACAAAGCGAGGGGGGCTCCAAATTATCAAAAAAATACCTCACGCAATTAATCGATGCCCCTTATTAGAAACATGGTACCACAAATTGTCGTGAATAAATATGCAAATATAAATAGTTGAAATTACTTATAAATAGGCTATTTAAAGTTTTTTAAATAAACATTTATAATTATTTTTTAATACATGTTTTGTATATAAGAATAATGAATTATTAATTTTTATAATTTTAATTTTAATACCTATTTAATAATTTTTTTAATGCTGGTGAAGTTTTATAAACGCCAATTTAGTCACGAATTTTAATTAGGCACGATCGAGCTTAAGACCGAGTGTTAAATTAAATGAGTGTTTGGAAAAGTTTATAAACGAGTTGTATACTTTACTTTTTCTAAGACAAACACTTATTTTTATCTAAAAATGATGTTCATTTTTTATGTGTAAATCGAAATGTATCCTTTGAAAATGGACTAACTACCGTTTAAATCCAATAAAGAAGCAGTTTTTTATAGTGAAAGCGAAAATAATGTTTTATAGGCACTCCACCGTGGAGTCCATCCGAAATTTAATGGTTAATTTAGTTTACTGTCGGCGAAATCAAAAGGTACAACGTGCATTTTTTTAAATATTGGCGTTGAGAAACTATATAATACTTTCATGATAAAAATTAGCACAAATGGTCCCAATATTTTGAATAATAATACTACTAATTCTGTACTTAAATTATTTAAATTCTTGATTTTGCGACATTAGTTATAGGTAGATAATGTTAACGTTTAACCATTGTATAATAATACTTCTTTATTTTACAGTGACCTGTAATTTAACATTAACCTATACTGATTTTGAGCAAAATGCGAAATATGGAACCACTCTCTAGGTATAGGTCAATCCATAAAATAAGGGCAAATGATTACAGGGTAGAGTCTATTTATAATAATGTTTTAATAAACAGCACAAAAATGCATTTCCCCCCTTTTACTATGTGTTTTTGGGGGAAGTCAAATTTCAGAATTTACTATTTTGGAGGCTTTCTTTTAAAAAATCATTTCTTGACCCTCAGGTCGCGACTTCAAATAAACCACAATCTTTAAAGGAAGTTAGTACCCTTTTTAAATAATTTTAAGCATTTATTTTACTGCCCACGAGGGCAGCATTGATTTTTTTGTAAAATCTAAAAAAATACTTATTACTGCTTTAATTAATTTAAACCAAATAGACCCACATATTTTTTGCACAAAATATTCTTTCATAACTAATAATTCTTGTGTATTTTGTTGAAATACCTAGTGAGTTTTTGCATTTAAATCTATTCTTCGTCGCAATACGCCCGCCAACGCATCTTCAACCTAAGTACAAATAAACCAATGTCAAAAAAAATCTTATAAGTTTTTCATAAACTTGTATACAATGTATAGAAATATGTATACTATACATGTTTCTACCACCCCTCATTAATTTCTTTATTTATGTCTAATTAAAAATCCATGATTAAATTACAAACTCATCAGCGGGTATAATTTTAATTAATCCTTTTTAGTCTTTGATGCACCTAATATTTTTAACATTAATTAATAAGTATTACAAAAATTAATACAACATCAGTGGCTTTAAAAACCAAAATGTTTAAAAAACTCAGAAAGAACTGTTTTAACATTTACAAACGAAATTTGTTTAACGTCAATTAAATTATTTTTACGAGAAGAGAAAATTGAAAGCAATCCCGAAAATTTAAGCATATCTTCCACATTTAAAATTTAATCATCAAGACTGACCAAAATCCCCCAATTCCATCATGAGAAATTAATGGGATTTTTTTTGGCATTGAAATAATTGCTTAAGTTGCAGATGCGTTGGCTGTGACACAGAATTGCTTTAAATGAAAAAAAAAACTATTTCAACAAAATACACAAGCATTTTTTCTTTATTATGATAGAACATTGCATGGCGAAAAAAAGGTGCATTATGTTTAAATCGAAGAAAGCAGTTCTGGTTAATTTGATATGATAAATACCCAAAAATGTTCTTTTTTGAATCACCAAAAAAAATAAAACTTATTTAACCCATACCTTAATCAGGTCAAAAAAATTACTTTTTTAAAGAGCCTGAAAAACGGTAAATTCAGAAATTGTGATAATTTAGGTGTAGTTTAACGATAATTAAAATAATTATTATTATTTTATGGATTGACCCCTATGTAATTTCAATGTATTTTTATTATTGTGTGTTTAATAATTTAAATTTTAAACTGCGTACAAATATTTTGTGAGTGTGAGTGTTATAATACAAAAATGGTTATACGTTGAAAAAATATTTTTCAAATAATTTTCTTCAAATTTTCGAAATTACTTTTTATACAAAGCAATAAACCAATTAGAGCGGTACACATCCTGTTGCAATTTTTAGATTACTATATTGAGCTGTGAAAAATACAAAAATACACGATGCATCCTTCAATGTATGGGTATATTTTATATTTAAAGAAGTTACGTAATTACAAGTCTTTTTAAATGGCATTTAGAAGTAAAAAAAGGCCGTTCTCAAATATTTTGAAAAAAACTGAATCCCTGTTTAAATTAAAAATCATTATAGCTTCTAATTTTGAAAAAAAGTATGATTTACAGTAAACATAAAGTAGCACAAAAATTGGATGGAAATGTAGATTAATGTGTGTTTTTTTTAAATTCCCAGGAATAACGATTTTTGTTTTTGATAGTTTTAAATAGTTTGATAATTGCTTTTTTCTTTTTTTAATTTTTTAATTTTTATAGGCTTGTAACGCAACTTTTTTTTATTTAACCGACATTTATCTTCTGCCATAGAAGGCTACTTGGTGCTCCCTGTTTATGTCAATAGTCGCAAGTTTCAAGAAAAAGCCCCAGGAGTTTTATTTTATTATTCAAAAAAATTAGTCATGTTTGTTTGCTAAGAAATTCCAGAAATATTTAGAGAGATTTAAGAGAACCTTTTTGAATGTTTTTAAAAAAAAATGCGATTTTGAAAATTTTTACCAATATACAAAGAACTTGGTACCGTTATGGATATTCCACTTTTAAATATTGTAAAGATTATTTCTGTAAATTTTGTTATATGTCTGCATGCAGGAATTGTTCAGGCACACATTTTTTTAATAGTGCGCTAATACTCAAATATACGCGCTTTAACCGGTTAAACAAAAGTAAACTATTGTACCTGCTATTTTGGCCTATGCAAGTGGAAGAGCCCCCTTGACACTGTAACCTTTGAAGGACATCCGCCGACTGGTCCACCTGCCTCTCTTTTTCGGCTCGTTCTCTCTGCAACCTTTAAAAAAGAAAAAAACAACTAACACAAACCCCTTTAAAAAAAAAAGTATATGCTCCATTAACCAAAAAACTTACCACTTGATTCATGGGTTCATCCCAAACACTGTTTAGCATTAAAATTAAAGGACAATTTTTTAATTGATTTTACACCGAAATTTACACAGAAAAACATTGATAATGCACACAATAAGAAAATAGATTAACTTACTTATTTTTAGATTGGCGCATGAATTGTTGGATTTTTCTGGCGGCTTGGTGCTGTCTTCGCTGCGAGTAAGTACGTCTAAAAATTGAAAAACTTTATAGAAACAGTGTTTTAAATTCGTAAAAAAAGTTGTTGTCTTGCCTTATATCCAAAATCTTACATTTGTAATATTTAATGTGATTTTATAATTCAAATAGATTTTATAATTTTGCCACCATTAAATTTTAATGATGTCGTGTTTTGCATACAGGCGACATGTTAATATTAAAGACACCAAGGTTTAAGGGGTAGGTTAAATCAAGAACTACCACACATGTCCAACATTAAGGGGAGCGCAACTACACCGAAGCAGACAGGGCTATACAGAGGTTGAAGAATTGGACTGGGGATAGTTTATTGAAATTTTCGAGTTTATTTCCTACAAAACGTATTTATGTAAAACAATTAACCCATCACTACTTAAGTGCAATTACCAAAGTCTGATGGGAAATCTTTTACTGTGGAAACCTCACACGAAAATTTTAAGAAATTCCCACAGTTGTTGTTGGTTAGAGAACGTGGCTGCTAATGTATTTTGGGATTAGTTGTAAGATTTCCTGTGTTAGTTGCTACATATGCATGGTTTGGTAGATGTTTGTAATGCTATGTTAATAGTTTATAAAAAATGTTTATTAAGAAACCAAAATAGTTGATAAACTGTTTACTCTTTTAATATAATGCATGTTATCGATAATAAAAAAATTGGAATAGGTATCCGAAAATATTTTAAAACATCAACTTTAGTAAATATTTTTTATTTGAATAATTTTGATTAATTAAATAATGAGCAGTTATATATTAGGTATCATATATGAAGTTGTATATAAAATAGTACAAAAACTATTGTATTTTAATGTGATATTAAAAAGTTTGTGTACAATGATTATTCTACAGGACAAGTACAAAAACTAATACAAATAAATTTCAAATATTTTTAATAATTAAAATTATTAGGTAGCTTGGTTTATTGTTAATAAGCATATTTTAAATGTTACTGGTTAGGTTATGTAGTTAGTATAGCAAGCATACATGGAATGTTATTAGTGTTACAGTACACGGAAAGCCTTACACCATTGATATAACAATTTTGAAAACTATTTTTTACATTTAACTGTTCATTGATGTTATTTAATTATAAAACACATATGGGTCTATAAAATGGCGCCATACAATACAGTTTTAGTTTTTATACGATTAGTTTTTAAGTTGGAAAGCATTTTAAGTTTTAATAAAAACCCAGCAACACTGCGTATTACTTGAGCTAAAATATTCTGTATTTAACAAGGATTGTTATAAAAACAATTTAAATAAGGCATCCTTTTATATACACATATGTATATATAAATACATAGCTTAAAATTATAAAAAAATGATTTTTGAACTATATAACTTAAAAACTTCTCATCAAAATTTTTTTTGTATGTGCGCTTTTTTGGACATTCTGTATCCTAATAATATTTTTAGTGTGTTTACAAAATTAATTTAGTAGGTGAAAACTAAATTACGCATTTTTTGTCGTTAAGATTTAGATTAAGTTAACATCTTTTACATTTTAAAACTTCCCACCTTTAATCGCGTATAACGCTTAAACATCTAAACAATTTTGTTGTGCACCTACTTTTACACTACGTGCCCAGGAGCTACCCCCTTAAAATATTAAATAAAAACGGGTATCAAATATATGAGAAAAACTTTATTTTTTAAATTTATATAGGTACCATTAAAAAAATAATTTATTTTAATTGTGTTTCCATTGCACAAAAAATGTTGAATGAATCTATAGTGGCCAGCTAGATCGCCTATTTTTTCCACTAGATTTTTTATGGGGTCTTTGGGGGCAATTTATACTGATAATATTATAAGCGTTTCTTAATGAGCAAATTAAAACCAACAACTATCATTTATTTTATAATGTATACCTGAAGTACTAAAAATAATATTTTAAAACTATCTTAGATAGGACTTTCCAAATCCATTATTTTTCCAAAATTGTGTAAGTTTAATTATGCCCTCAGGTATAATGTTTATACAACACGTATTTTTTCAAATACCTGCATTAGCTAGAATAAATACCGTCACTTAGTAAAAATTTGTACTTATTCTGAAGAATCTACAGTGTAGCGAAACAATTGTTAATTTTTAAAAAACATAAATAAAATTGTGAAACTTTAAAACAGTGTTGTTTTTATTCAAATATTAATTTCGAACAAAGGTGTAAACAATTTTTGGTCATTAACAGACAACATTTTGAGCACTTATTACGATGATCTTTTGTCCAATAAAATACTAAACTTTTTAATTACATTCAAAACACAATTAAAACAAATTAAACAATTATTTTTTGTTTTGTTTTTGTTTTGGTCTCCAGAGATGTGCAGTTAAAATCATAGCAAATGTATCTTGAACCGAATGCAAAAAATACTTTATTTCATTAAAAAATTTTACATTTCCAAGTTTGTTTATTTTTAGGTCTGCTTTACATAAAGAAAAATTTGCATATTTATAATATCCATGAAATTGTAGATACATAAATTTGCTATAAGGTATGGACAAGATATTTGTCTAAAAAAAATTAAGATTAAGTAGAACAAGTAATGGACCAAATTTTTACAGCATCAATTTCTACGTTTTACCTATTAGTTTTAGAGATATACAGGGCTATGTCGAGTTTCACCTTATTTTAAAGGTAATAAAAAAAGAAACCCATTATCTTTAAAATAAAGTAAAACTCGACAAGGGTTGCTATTTAAAAAAACCGCGTTGCATGGAAGTTCTACACTATCTAAGAATTTTCAGTTTTTTCTTCATTCCTTCAAAAGTTATAGCTCCGTCGCGGGACTTTTGGGAAGCCCTGTAGATTTACAACGATTTAAATTTAAGTTAAGGCAATATCCAGTTCCAAAAGCTTTTTATTCCATAGATGAGTTTTTATTTTATATTTATTTTTATTTTAGTGAGCTAACCTAATTAATTATTATTTATTTATTTTATTTGTATACAGTTTTCTTGTTTGTTCTTATAGGTACTAACAACTATATGTTATTTATTAATTCATGTTATATATTTATTATGATTGTAATTTACTTATTAAACTCAGTGTGATTTGTGCATACATTTTTTAGAGCATACATAAATTTTATTATTATTATTATTGTTATTATTATTATTAAATATTTCGTAAAGGAACCAATAGAGTTTAAAAACCAATACGATAAAATGTAGGTTTGAAGTATTACATAAACCCCCTTGGATTAGAGATTTTTTGGGCACTGAGGTAAAGGTGGGTGACTTATTTTTTCCATAAAAAGTTTTTCTCCAAAACAATTTTTAGATATTTTTAAAAACATTTTAGATTTTGTCACCGCATACCGAAAAATTTTAACTACAAATTGTTTGGCCAATTTTTCAATTTATACAAAATTTTGAAAAAAATCAAGGATTTTGTAGTTATAATATCTTCGGGGACCGCGCGCGGGAAGCAGTATATAAATATATCAAAAGTTGACATTTTTAAAACTGTTATATCTAGCTAAAGCTAGCTTACCAACATCTAACATTGTTGACAAAACATTGCCTATTTATTAAATTATAAGCTTTTATTCTAATAAATGTTTGGTTTTTACTTTACATTTTACTTTATATCTTTAATAAGACAGTTAAAAATGTAGTATATAGTTTTCAAAGCGTTAATCCAGAAATAAGTAGCAGCAACTAAACTGCGCACCACTCAATGTGTCGCGACCAAAAATTTCGTCCTTTTTCAAAAGGACATAACTTTTTTGTTTCTTGAACGATTTTATTTTGGTTTGTGATGTCTGCTAGCCCCATTCTCTGGCAATTCATGCTATAGATATGAAGCTCACGGTTCTTCAAGTAAATTTACTACAGGGTGATATGTAAAACAGTGAAAAATTTCAATTACTTCATCCAAGCCCCGTTTGTAAAATAAATATTTTTTTCCGTTTTTATTTTGAAATAATGAAGTATTATGTCTTACCTTGAAAGTTTTTCAAATTTTTCGAATTGGAATCTTAGCAACAAAGATATGATTTTTTTTTCAATGGAGTACATTTGATGCTTTTTTGTAGGAAATACACTCAGCCTTTTTAAGAACAAAAAGATAAGATGGTGAAAGATTGTTCCTTGAATAATTCTGAACAAGCGACAAGCAACAAACTTCCATTATTTTCAGAGGAACCTAAGCAATGACCACTTTTTCAAAATTACATTTTAGTGAAAATTTTCGAAAACTAAACCTGAACCGATATTTACGTTCGTGACATGTTTTCTTCATAATTTTGACTTTGATTGTAGTTCAGTTGTCAAATTTAGGTTTCAGATAAAACCAAAATCACCAAGAATCAATATTCGAAAACAATTCCTGGATGATAAATGTCTTAATAAAATCTGATTGCTGGATTTTACTGTTTTTTTACTGTGTTTTGCATTTTTAGAACGTTATTATCATGTCACTGAATGATCAAATCAAGGATCAAATAATGAAAATTAAATGCCAATAATTTTGTGTTGGTGGACGACAATGCCCGTCCGCATCGCGCTTATATCGTAAATGAATATTTAAGGAACCATGATATTGAGAGAATGAATTGGCCACCTTTGTATCCGGATATGAATCCTATTGAGCATGTCTGGAGCAGGATGAAACTGAAGATGAAAGAGAGGAAAGGACGCATGGAAAATTTTGATGAATTGGTAAATTCGATTCAGGAAGAATGGGAAGCCATACCCTAGTAATTTCTAAGGAACTTGGTCTAGGGAATGCTCAGGAGGGTTAACGAATTATTACGGGTTAGGGGAGGGCCAAAGAAATATTGAAAGTTATTATTGTTATTGTTTGTTACATTTTTCTGTTGAATGTTGTAGTTTTTATTATGATTATATCTTCGCATAAAATTTTCAAAAATAAACAAACAAATTTTGTATTTAACTTTATTACCAATTAGGTAGGTACTTATCAGTAATAAGTTATCACTAGTGTGCAATATAAATGTAATTTATGTAACATTATCCTAACCACTCAAACAAAAATGAATCCCCAAATGGCATTGGCAAAGGCATGTTATCTATGATTGAGACATTTAACAGCCGGGAATTGTTTTCGAATTTTGATTCTTGGTGATGTTGGTTTCATCTAAAACTTAAATTTGACAACTGAATCACATCAGGAGGTCAAAATTATAAAGCAAACATGTCACGAACGTAAATATCGGTTCAGGTTTAGTTTTCTCAAATTTTCTCCAAAATGTCATTTTGAAAAAGTGGTCTTTGCTTAGGTTCCTCTGAAATTAATGGAAGTTTGTTGGTTGTCGCTTGTTCAGAATTATTCAAGGAACAATCCTTCACCATCTTATCTTTTTGTTCTTAAAAAGGCTGAGTGTATTGCCTACAAAAAAGCATCAAATGAAATTGAAAAAAAAATCATATTTTTGTTGCTAAGATTCCAATTCGAAAAATTTGAAAAACGTTTCAAGGTAAGACATAATACTTCATTATTTCAAAGTAAAAACGAGAAAAAAATATTTATTTTACAAACGGGGCTTGGATGAAGTAATTGAAATTTTTCACTGTTTTACATATCACCCTGTAGTAAATATACGTGAGCTTTATATCTATAGCATGAATTGCCAGAGAATGGGGCTAGCAGACATCATAAACCAAAATAAAATCGTTCAAGAAACAAAAAAGTTATGTCGTTTTGAAAAAGGACGAAATTTTTGGTCGCGACACATTGACTGGTGCGCAGTTTAGTTCACTCTTTAGCCACACAACACCGACACGGCCAAACTTACTTGATGCCCGCTGAGACGGGCGTGCCCTCTCTGCTTCCCCTGGTCCCCCCCTGCTCCTTGTAGTTGCGGTAGTAGTTCTGGATGCACACAGCCGCCTCCTGGCTCTTCTTGAACCGCTTGTTCTCGCAATAGGACCTGAATCCGTTTTGGATGACCATGGCGGCGCGCGTCATCTGCTTGTAGTAGGCGTACTGCTTGTAGCGTCGGTAGTAGTTCTGGATCACGACGGCGGCGGCCCGCTCCTTGTCCTGCTCCTGCTGTTGCCGGCCCTTGTACGAGCGATACGCCTTCTGGATGATTTTTGCTGCCTCATATAATTCCCTTTGTTCACGATCTATAACAATAAATTATTTAAGTTTAAGGAAAATGACCACACATAACACAATGTGTTTTGAAAATGTTGTCAGGCTGTTTGAAGAACAATATTTATAAATGAAATAAATGATGAAATGTTGTATGAACATTCTGGGAAAAATATTTCTGTAACTGTTACCTACGCGTAAATATATCTGAAACATTCATAAATATCACGAAAATATTTTTCAAAATTTGTTTAACAATTTTATGTAAATATTATTTCCAATATATTGTTAAGTCATTTAAGAATATTTATAAACTTTTTAAAAAGTTCATTAAAAGGTATCTGTTGTCAGGGTCAGTTCGGCCATTTTTACTTTGTTGAGTGTGTTTCAAGTGCGGCGCTAAGTTAAAATAAAAAATTATCCAGATAATATTTCCTGCTAGAAGTATGTATTATATTTATTTGTATTGTTTAGATTATTATTGCTATTTATGAATGGGAGTGTACTGATCTTAAAATTTTATTGCCACCCTATTGAAGACGATTATTCTATCGGTAAATTTCTTATTAACAAAAACAAACATAAACCTAATAAACTCGCTTAGAAAACCAAAAACATTATTGTTTATTAATTTTCAAAAACAAAAAAAATAATTTCCCCGAGCGGGACTGAACCGAAGACTTTAATTTAAATTAAATTCTTTTTAGCCTCCATACGAAAAATCCGAAAACCGAATCTGTGAGAAAAAATGATATTTTACCAGATTTACAAAAATGGCTGGCTAAAGCTAAATTTAGAAAAAGGAAGTAATAAAGAAACCTAAAAAGAAAAACAAAGACTGTAGGAAAAAAAATATTCTTTTATTTCTGTAAATTTGTTTTACTTATTTCACTTCGATTCACGTCGATTACACAAAAAGTATCACACGGCTTTTAAAAATATAAAAGCATCATTTTATCAAAATTTACAACAATATTTTTAAAATAGGTAAATATGCAATAACTGTAAATATTTTCTAATTTTTTCCAGATATTTTTGTGATGTTGAGAAAACATTAATAAAATATAAGGTAATGTTTGTAAAACATTACAAAAATGTTTTAAAAATGTTGAGAACAAATATTGTATAAATATTAAAAGTGGGACATATAAATGTTGTAAAAACATTTTAGAGGCATTTAAATGATATTGACTAATATATATTTCTAAAATATTTAGTTTATTGAGCGAAAATATTCATTCAATATTTTAAATATATTTTTTGTTGTGTTTAATAATGTGTTTAATGTACGTTAAAATGAGAAAAGTTGTTTCTAAAGGTTGTTTTAATATTAAGAGCCTCGTACCTGATAGTGTTAAGTTGGAAAAATCCTTCTCAAAAACAGTTCCTGAAGCTTGCAGAAACTCACAAAAATCAGCAGTAGTCGGGGGAGGCGATGGAGAATCCAAAGTAAACGAACATGGCGATTGTAAGCAGCTAGATGAAGCTGGACTAAGACTAGAGCAAGGAGTACCAACATCATAATATCTAAAAATAAAAATAATTATAGAAAGTTGTTTATGGACATCCTAGAATATTTGTACCTGTAGTTATGATCAGAAAACTCAAAGTTAAACTCTGTAGATTCAAAAGATGATGAAGATTGATCTAATAGAGGTTCCATAAAAACGTCAGAGAGTGTATCGTTGGTTTGAAGGCTGTCTGGAGGACCTGGACTGTTGTCTAATAGCATATCCTCACTCTCATTCTAAAAATATTAAAATATTATTTCAGAAAAATGTAGGTACTTAACAAATATTTACCTTTATTCGGTCTGGCATTGCAGCTATGATCTGTTCAGCCAAAGTTAACACTCTTGCATCTTGTTCCCCTAAAAAGTAATTTTTGATTTAATAAAAAAAAACAATTTTCAAAATACTTAATAAAAAAAACGTAAAAGCCAAAGCAAGCATTATCGTGCAAGTATAAAATGTAGTGGAAGTAATGTTACTTTTGTACAAAAATGTATGTGAGAAATGCATGCTAATAGCAAAGAAGTCAAGAGTATTTTGCATTGTGATGTTTTAGTTGATTTATTCTATTCTAAAAACCTTTTTTTTTTAACAGTTATGTTTAACAAATCTAAAACAATTTAAAGAGTTTAATAAATGTATTAGTGCGTAAAGGTATCTAATTTAGTAAATTTACAATAACAGAGTTAACAGGTGGAACCTTTTAATTCTAATGTATTTTTATTATTATTATAATAACAATCTTTATAAAATCCTTAATATAGTTTTAATTTTTGGTTAAATGGCAATATGGATTAAAAATACCAAAAATAGGAATAGATTTAATAAGAAAAACAATAAATTTGCCATTTAACCAAAGAAATAATACATTAAATTTAAAAGACAAATAAGAAAATTCTAAGAATATATATATATGTAGAATAGTACTTATAAAACGACAGTAAAATGATTTTTAAATAATTTTTTAACATATTTTGATAAAATTAAACTCCATTAACCATGGTTGCAATTAATTAAAAAATGCCTTTAAAATATTGTTGTGTAACATCGATTGCTAAACTAAAAAGCATTTTAAAGGCGATTTTTTTTATAATGTAACAGTTGTTAGTTTTTTTATGATTAAGCCAAAAATAAAATTAATATAAACAATTATATCAAGGGCGTTCAAAATCCATGATATTTGCTAACTGGATAGTGAAACTTTTATACTCTTTAAATTTCTGGCTTAATAGTTTTTAGCGACAGTTAATATTTAAAACTTAAAAAAAAATGTAACAACACCGAGAAACAACAATAATAATGAGAGTAAGTAACAGAGACCACCAAACAACCAACCAAATAACAGAAATAACAATTAAATGTTGGGGGGCAACTGACCTACGGCGCCGCCACTGTGGTGGTGGACTTCGCCGTTATCGTCGTCGGAGACTGCTTCCACGTCAATCAACGGACTCCCGCTTCTCTGGCCGCTCCCTATCTCGCCTAAATCAGCACAACGTCAGCAAATTGCCATACAAAAGTTTACAATCTTTTAAGTAGGTACCTAGACATCTATTTATTTTGATTACAAAGGGGGGCCCAAAAGATCAAATGTGTAAAATACGTATGTTAAAAGTTATATTTGTGCTTATAAGATCTCTAATTATAATTAGCTTATAATTAACTTCTGGGCCACCTTGTACATTATATCCGATATATACACCTATTCTGAACTTTATTTTAGTCACTAATGCATTTAAAAAGCAAAAATAAAAATGCTGGTTCATCAGTAAACAACCAGCGCGTTAAAGTTGATGATGACATGCAAAAATGTTCGACTTCGACTTTATATAAGCACTTACCTCCTGGGTACAAATGCAAACAATTTAAATGGGTACAAAATTTGATTGAGATCAAATTTAAGTTTACTCACATAAAGCAAAGTCCATTTTTCTGCCAGGGCCCTCCAAGGAATCCTCAAAGGAATGGTCTCGTCCAGAGTGCGGGGAGTGTAGTGGAAGAGACATGCTTCTATCAAACCTGAAAATGCTAAAAATGTATCGTTTTACATATTTTAATATTTGTTTTCTTTTAATATTAGACTTGTGAGCTGGGAAAGTTACTTCTGAAAAGTATCTAGTTACTTACGTACGGATACGGATCTTAGACAAGTATCTAGATTCTTTTCAGAAGTAACTAAACAAAATAACTTAGTTACTTCAGGTAACTAGATAATAGAGTCTTTAGTTACAAGATACCTTAAAAAGTATCTAAAATACTATCCGAAAGTATCTAAGATAATATATGAAAGCATCTAAGATACTTTTGAGTAACTAAGTATAAATAAAAACTATAAAATTAAGAAAATTTAACGTTGTAAGTTAGATAATTACTTATCATCATAATTACAATCATTCTGGAATTCCCCCAATTTTTTTCTAAGAAAGTATATAAGTTACACTAAAAAGTATCTTAATTACTTTAAAAAGTATCTTAGTTACTTTAAAGTATTTTAGTTACTTTACCGGAGTAACTTAAGTTAATTAGATACATTTTTAGATACAAGTTACAAGATACTCTTCCAAAGTAACTAAGTTAAAGATACTTTCTGTCTAACATGTTTAAGATAAAGCATCTTAGATACTTTTAAGTATATTTTTTTTCAAGATACTTCTAGCTTTGTGCACAATATTGTATTGGAGTGCCGGTTTATCATAGGGGAGGTTAAGCAGGCCGCCCCTGGCTCGGGGAGTCGATAGGGGCCCGAAAAGTTGAATGGAAAAAATGTTTAATTACAATAGTAGGTATATTGTAAAACAAGTGTAACAATTAACCTTATTGTACAAAGACGTAGAAGGGCCAACAAAAATATTAGGTTTATCCTACAATTGTAACTAAAACTTACATTATAAAAGTTACAATTGTAGGATGAACTTACAATTGTAGGTTCAACCTAAAACCTACAATTGTAGGATAGAAATTGTAAAAATAAAAGTTAGTTTTGGCTGAAAATTGTAAAATTTTTGTTGGCCCTTCGGAAGCTACATGTAGCAAATGTAGTATAGAAATTGCAATAATCAAAGTTAGTTTTTTTCTGAAACTTGTAAAATTTTTGTTGGCCCTTCTACGCCTTCGTTTTATTGTGATATATATATATTTTTTGTAAACTCCAAAGCTTTAAAAAGTAGGACAAAATATCTTACTTTGAAAGTCTTGTCGCTTCCCGCATCTTGGAGCTTTTTGGTCGTGTGGTTTCCGTAGCTGGCCCGCAGCTCATATGGATACCACTATCGATGGACGGGCGTTTTATTAATTTTTGACCATTATGACCTCTTGTGCTTGCGGAAGAATCAGACAGCAAAGGACTTGGCGTGGAGGTTAACATCTTTCCGAGGCTGGAGTCAGAGTCTAGGTCCAGGTTTAGTATCTTGTACTTGTTGTATTCACTCCTAAGAATATTTGTAGGTTATTTAAAGTTTTAGTTCAAAATTGCTTGATTACCTTGTTACTGCGCCAGGTCGTAGAAAAACCCCATCGTGAGATTTACTCGTAGACGCTATAGAAGCTAACGAAGCTATAGAACTAGCAGGTGAAATGACAGTTGGTGAACTTGCAGCGTCAGATGACGAATTATTAGAATGCAAAAGCATGTTGGCTTTATCTCTTCGTATCTCTAATTTCTCCAACTCTTTCACTAGATCAATATGACAGTTGGCCTTTGCACATTCTAATGGCGACTCGTTGCAGTTGTTTTTCATGTTTAGAGCTGTATGATTCCACTTGTACAGCATCACTGCGGTGTCGGTGTGACCTCTTGTACATGCCCACATCTAAAAGAAAAACATGACTTCTATCTGCAAACAAATTGGGTAGGTAATTCATCCTTACCAGCGGAGTGTATCCATCTTCATCTTGGCTAAGTGCATCAACTTCAGTTTCCAATAAAAGAGACGAGTTCTCAGCACGCCAGTGTAACATGGCACATACCAACCTAGAGTAGCCCAATGAAGCTGCTAGATGTAGCAGAGTCATACCTCGGTGACTAGCAAACCATGAAACGCTCAATTCTTCACCAGCGCGCCAAATACGCGAGGTCATATTTTGACAAAAATTCACCAAGCGATCTTCAAAGCTGGGTTGGGTGAATAAAGTCGTATCCTCAACCTAAACATTACATTATTAATATAAAAAATTAAGGTACAATTTATTTATCGTACGCCATCGCCGTCGGAGGGTTCCTGTTTGATTTGCAAGCGGTCGTCCATAGCTTCGAGTCGTTGTAACAGCGTGAACTTCAACAGGTTGTCGTTGCTACGTTCGACTTTTGGCTCAGGGGCGGCCACTTGTTCCTCTCTCGGCGGCAACTTGTACTCAAATATCACAGAGTTGGATATCACATAACCATCACATGCTACTTGCAACGTCGCTAAGCCAGCCTCGTGAGCTTAAAAGAAAGAAGAAGGTTACTAATGACAAAACACAATTTTTCTTATTAATACCTGGACAATGACATCGTAGAACACCGCTTTGAACCAAAGTGGTGGGTACAGGGAATGTATCAAAAAGGACTGTATAAGGGCTGGACGAGTGCCACGGTCCAGTTACCAAAACTTTAACGCCGCCCTCTGGATAGGCCCATTCGGGAGAGTAGTCGGTAATTTTGGCCGAGGTCTCCATGTTGTTTTGGTTGACAGCTTGCTGCTGCTGTTGTTGGTGTTGGTGTTCTTGTTGTTTCGTGGTTTCGGACGGATTGACATCTAAAAGGGCTGCATGGCCTGCGGAGTCTAGCGCTTCTAGATCTGGAAACTCTCCCAACATATCGAAAGCGTCGAGGTTAACAAAGACATCATCGTCCACTACATGTGTGGGCGATACTACGACATCGCAGCTGTCTATGAAGTCCATGGGGTTAATTTCGGTGTGCAAAGGCGGCGGTTCGACCACTTGACGATTCTGCTTGATTTGCACAACGTTCCTGATGTTGTGCTGTTCCTGCTGTTGGTGTCGCTGGTGATTATCTAATTCATTTGAACACAAAGGCATATTGGCGGACAACGTTCGCTGGATGTCCTCCTGGGACAGGTCGAGAGTTTCGTTAAAGAAACTGTTTATTATGGAAGAACCTACAACAAAATAACACACCCTGTATACAAAATTATAAAATAATCTACCCATCTAATCACTTCAATACATAATGTTCATTGTGTGTGTAATCGCAAGATAGTAAATTGATTGTTGGTCTTGAGATAATCCACTTTGTGTTGGGAAAATCAATTTCCCATTTCAGGAGTAATGTATTATTAGTAGACAAATTAAATGGGTGAAGATTTACGCTTCGAACTCGGATATGAATTAATGTACTTCCTTCAGCATATTATAGACACATATTTGATGGATTTAACAGATAAGTAAGATTATGTTGTCCTATCAATAAACTGTGCGTCAAGAGGTGAATTTCGCCAATAGAGGTAAATTTTGCAAATAGCCACTCGCTATACATTTATTAGTTAAGATAGTTTTTGGAACACTTCCCAGATAGTTTTAAGACAGTTTTGGTTAATTTTCGACATTAAAAAAAGACCGTTTAAAAATAACCAGTTTTAAGAAATATTTCCAAATAATTTGAAAATTATTTTAAGGTAGTTTTTATACATTTTAAACACCAAATATTGATAAGAAGGGGGGATGTTGTAAATGAGGTTTACGGACGACCTTTGTCCAAATTCGTTTAGACGCAAAAGGATGTGCAAAAAAATATCTCCAGTCTTCAAATAAACCTTAATAGGACTCTATGGATCTTTGGCGCTCCCCGCAATGCGGCTCTTCGGGGGCGTTATTTACGCCACTGGTATTTTAGGAGTTACATGATATTTTAGACAATTCTAAAATGGTTTTAAAACAGTAGGGCATTTTAAGGAAGTTTAGACAGTTTAAGACGACTTTAGGACAGTAATTTTTAGAACATTTAAGACAGTTTTGAAACAAAGACTTGAAACATTTCTTAACTCGTTTTAAAACAATTTAAAGGACATTTGAGTTTTAAGATGGTTTTAAAACAATTTTACATAGTTTTAGGAGTTGCAAGACATTTTAAAGTAATTGTTCCGTATCGCGGCTTTTTCCAAAAAAGGTATTTTCTTTCTGGAAAGGTGTTTTTAACAATTTTAACAATATTTTTATAAACAAATGTCGTCGATTATAAATTCCTTAACTATCCTAATATTCCGATTTTTATTGGGCATTAATCTCCAATAAAATTTTTAAAAAAATTAGATTTTTTCTAAAATATTTGTTTAAACACGGAATTTCAAAACTGTCAGTGTTTATTGATAAAACTTGAGTTTACAAAGTCAAAATTTTGTTTGGTATTGGGTTGCGTTAGATTGGTTTGGTTTTGTTTGTTAAAATTGACCCTTAAAAATGTTTGTGATATACATAACAATGCTCAAAAAGAATGGCGTTGAATAATAGCACGCTACCATACCATTTAAGATTTTTTAATTTTTTTTTACAGTTCCAAGACGGTTTTAAGGACAAAGGTAACAGTATTAAAAACTGTTTAGAGTTTAGCAAGACAATACATTATAAGACAGTTAAATAACAGTTCTAAAACTGAACAACAGTTTTAGGAGAGTTCTAAGATAGTTTTTTTTAATATTTTGGAATTTTAATACAATTTTATCTATTTTGCGTTCATAATGACTTCATTATAAAACCGGTGCTGTAATGGGATACTTTATCCCACTCAAAATTTTGATTTTATAGGTTGGCTATACTTTAAACCGCATAATATTTTACACATTGGTTATAATATTTTTATGATTTTTCTAGTACTTACGAGACTTTTCTGGCAATAAATTTTGTTTAACACCAGCTGCTTATAGTAAATAAGTAAATTAAGGACGACATGGCGAATCGATTTTGACATTAACTGTCAACTGTCAATGACTGTGATACCCAACTATCTAAGGTAAAATTCGACCAAATTAAATTATGTATAAAATTAATTTTTTATAGAATTTTTGCAAAATAGATAAAATAGCATAGTATCCTCTTAACACTCGAAGTAGATAGACGCGTCAAGTAGTTAAAGATTCCTCTCCTAGCAGCGTATACGAGACAAACGCAACCGTAAGTTCCAAAAACGAACCTAAGCATTCGGAAATATCGGTTATAAATAAATAAATAAATAACTAAATAAACAAACAAGTGCGATAAGTGCAACTAGTGCAAAAAAAAGGGCAATGAGTGTGAAAAGTGCAGGAGATCCCCTATTAACGCCGTAAAAGAGTGCAACCGAATAAGTAATTATAAGGCCAACCGGCCCACCTGGTCAGCAGGGATTGTCACAACCAAAGCCTGTCAAAAACCTGCAGGCGAGGTCAAGAAACAACGGACAGACCGTGAAAGACATAGCATCAGGATTATAGCCTAACAATCAAGCTAAGTAATTTTTCTAATTGCATGTCTTATTAACAAAACCATTTTATTCCAAAAAAATCTAAAGTAAAACGTCTCCAGAAACACCAAATATTCATTGAATATATATTTAATATTTAATGAATATTTAATGTTTTTTAAATATATAAATGTTTGCTTAATATGTAATAAATATATTTTTATAATATATGTTTTTTAATATACAGTGGATGTTTAGCTAATATTATTATGGAAATATTTGTTTTAAATACGTAGTAAATATTTAATAAATTTATTTAAAATATATTTATTTTTTATGTTCAGTGAATATTTAATAGATATTAATAAAAAAAAAATATACGTTTTAGAACATTTTTATTATATCCATTAAAAATTATGAAAATATATTTTTTTTATAGCTATTTTAAGATATTTATATAATATTCAAAAGTATTCAAAATTAATTATTATAGTATTATCTGGAATAGATATTGAAAAAATATCTAAAAAAACATAAATACCTGTTTTATAATTATAATTACTAAATTAATAAAATATTTAAAAAAAAATAATAATATTTTATAGACCTAAGTCGTCACCTGAGTATGAACAGGGCAATAAAGCTGTCAACAAAACAATTCAAGTATAACAAACCGAGACCAAATAAATTTGACACTTAAGACATAAACAACAAACTAAGAAAACATAAACAAAGTAAAAAAAAAGCACTCTAATCAAACTCCACGAAATTTGTAAACATTAGACTCTAAAATAAATACCTGCTACACTGAGAGAAAAAATGTTGTAAAATCATTCAAAACAATAATAATTCAAAGGGATTCAAATATATGTTAGCGTCATTGGTGTATCCCAAGTGTATAACAATTGTATAATACATACCTTTTTGAAACAACGTTGAGAAAGGCAATGAAATTAATAGATTTCTTTTTGAATATATATTTTAAAGAGGGTACACTTTAAAAGTGTTTAACAACATTGTAAAACTGTTGGTAAATAAATATAAAACTACAATTTTTTTCTATTTGAATCAAATGTACCCGACTATTTAAAATTTAAATTAATATAATGTCATATGCTTTTCATGACATGATATTTCTCTGAGTGTAATGGGAAAAACCATTACCAAAAGGGTAAAAGTAGCCCAACTAAAATACTGGGTCCACGTCACTCGTAGACAACGCAACAACATACTACAAGCCACCCTTAAACTAGATCTTAAAGACAAAAAAGTCGGGAGACCATGCTTCACATTTCATGACACGTTAGCACAAAACATGCACTTCTCACAAATTAACAAGACCAGCTGGGAGCAAATAAGCAACAATAAAAACAAAATAAAAAAAAAACAACCGACACACTTTACCAAGTTCAGGAATTATCCGACACGGATAATGACAATAATGAACAAGACGAAGACCTCGACTAGGAAACTACACCCTGCAGCGGAATAACAACTCCCCAACTCCAAATAGTAATCCCAAATGTTTGGAGTAATATTAATCGACTGGTCTAGGGGGATTCCGCGTCGTACTTAGTTTTAAGTCGGCGTAATTGTCCCCCAAAAACCAACACCCTCCCGTCCCTTCTCCATACCCCACTGAGCGTATAGCATAGGCTCGGCGAACCCGGGAACGGCTATTAAAACTATTCGCCTCTCGCTCTCGAGCTCCAAATAGGGGACAGTACTGAACGCAATGGACATTCGCACCCAGCAAACACGGGTGAAGCCGCGAAGTTGTTGGGGAAGAAAAAAAATCGGCGTAAGTAAACATAGGCCTGTACGGGGTTTGAGAGTCAAGAGGAAATGGGGCTGGTTATACGTCTCTTATACTCATACTCATACTCATAGATAAAATAGCATAAAGAACTCATGTCCTTCGTCGCTCGTTTTATAAATTGTCCGCGTGCGACAAAATGACGTCTTATGACATTAGTTCTTTAATATACTATTAATGCATTTTTTTAGAACACTTCCCATGCACTTTGGGGACATTTTAAAACCGATTTAGGGCATATTTAGACATTTTTAGGGCATTTCCAAAAATATTTTAATATTGGTTTCTGTTGGACAGCTCAAAGCAGTTTTGAGACGATTTAGGCAGTTGTAAATGGTTTTAGATGATTATAACAGTTTTATACCATTTTTAGATTCAAAGTCGACTAAATTAAAAAATAAATTAAACTTACCATCACTTTTACTTATAATTGACCCGCTGGAATCAGTTCCCAACAAGACAACAGTTTCCCCGCAAAAATTTTGGTGTTTGTACTCTTCAACCACTTCCTCGTGACTGGTGTCCATGTGCTTGGAAGGAGTCGATGGCGCACTGGACATAATAACTTCAGTCTGCTGCTGATGCTGCTGTTGTTGTTGCTGCTGGTGCTGCTGCTGTTGATGTTGTTGCCTACTAAAAGTTATGTTTTCGAACATTGATTGTCTCATATTATCGTTGACTTCCATCTTGGTTTCTCTTTGGTTACTTTTAACTTCCTTGGGGTGGCAGCAGGATGAGTTCGTCTCCATTACTTCCTGCTTGAGGACCAAGTGACTAGTACGATCTTTTTGCTGACCTCTATTCGTATTGCAAACGAAGTTAGCAACGGAAACGGGATTGACTATGTTCTGGTGACTAGCGTTGTTCGAAGAGTTACTGTTCAAAATAAGTAATCCCCCACCACCTTGTATCTGAGACAAACTCAGGACCAACGGCGGTGTTTTACCAGTATTATTTTTTAAGTTAGGATTGTTCCTGGCATCCCTACTGTAAACTCTCGGCGAATTGTTGTTGGTCAATAGCAACGGTCCACTTCCAGTCGTCGACGAAACCTGATTATTGTTATCCAGGCTGCTGGACGGTCTGGAACTGGAGCTCGGCAACGGCGATACTTCTTTTGCCGATGTTATCCTTCTCATGGGATGAGAACAACTTTTGCCATCGGCACAAGTCGAGTCCGGACAACCGCATTCCAATTGTTTCACGAGAGCTGCCTGGCGAGCTTGCCGCTGCTTTTCCATCAGCTGACTTACTATGGCTTCCACCGTCTCGGCAGTCTAAAAGTTAGATGATGTAAATTAGTGCCCTCTGTATAACAATAACACAGCCTTTAAAATATATTAAATATATAGTTTTTGATGTACTGAATTCGAATTCAACCCTAGAATTATTGTATTAGTTTTAGATGGCATAACGAGTTTTGCAAGAAAAAATATTTTGTGCACTAAAAGACTTTTGACGTAATGAAGCGATTCTAAGGTCGGATTCGGATTTAGCACAGCAAAAACCTTCAAAAAGGTGTAGTCTGGTCTCTGTTATAAAATGTTGTTTACATTTTGTGGACCTATTACACTGGCCGACAGCCATTTTGGTGCAGGGTAGACAACAACTTTTTTAGGGTAATTTGAGTACGCCGAATCCAAAAATGACCATCATTTTGCTCAATCAGCTTTTGTTTTTGCGATATAGACAAAAAACCATTTTTTTTATATGCGCACATTCAAATGCTTAAATATATTTTTTTTAACTTCTAATTTAAGCAAGGATAGTTGGTAATGTTGCTATGGGTTTTAATAAACTGTAAAAAATACCATATACATTGACAATTGTATTCTCTTTAAAAATCTTGCTTTCATCGAAAGAAAATCTGTTTATTAGCCAAAATTCTGAAATTTTTAAAATTCAAAGTGATACAGCATGATTAATTTTTGCCCGATTTAAATAAAATTTACCCTATTTGTAGCTCTATTTATCTACTTTATTGTGATAAAATTTCAATGCAATCAAATAAAAATTGGCAACATGACAATAAAATCAACCAAAATTGGGTACTATGTGTACCACTTAAATACTCTCCGTGAATAGCTATTAATATTCACAGAGCCTATTTAAGTGGAAAATTTTTGTGCCTAAGATTTTATACCTGATTTTAAGTAGGTATGTCTAATAAGATGTCAAAAATATTATTGTTTTTTTTCTATTAGTTTTAGTGTAGGAGAGTATGAGTTAAGTATTTGCTGCTGATCTCAATACTCTACTATCATACACTCTGCCGTGCTAAAGTAAACCCCCGTATCTGCAATATTAAATAATAAAGGACAAAATATATTTTTTATTGTTTTTAACAATAAAAATGATCTTTTAATTAATATTGCAGATACTAGGGTTTAGCTTAGCACGGCAGCACTACTCTCATTCAATTTTTGATTGAATTGAAATTTTTACAATAAATAGAGCTACAAATAGGGTAAATTTTATTTAAATCGGGCAAAAATTTATCATGCTGTATCATTTTGAATTTTAAAAATATCCGAATTTTGGCTAAAAAATCGATTTTCTTTTGATGAAAGCAAGAGTTTTAAAGCGAATACCATTATCAATGTATATGGTATTTTTTTTAGTTTAATAAAGACCCAGAGCAACATTCCCAACTATCCTTGCTTAAATTAGAAGTTTACAAAAATATATATAAGAATTTGAATGTGCGCTTATCGAAAAAAATGGTTTTTATTCTACATCGCAAAAACAAGAGCTGATGGAGCAAAATGATGTTCATTTTTTGATTCAGCGTACCTAAATTACCCTTAAAAAGTTGTTGGTTGCCATGCACCAAACAGAAATTTTATTTTTGTTGGCCTGTGTTATATTTAAAATACCTAAGGAGAATAAAAACAAAAAGTAGTACCGAAATTTCTAGTTCGTTGTGTAAATCCGGTTCGTCTTCGCTGAAAAACATGGGTTTCAGTTGCGACACCAATTCGTCCTTCGTCCATTCCTTCTTGTCTGCCCATAGTGCTAAATTGGGTGTTATTACGGCTAGCTTGTTGTCGTCTGGATATGGTACGTTCAGATAATGTACCAGGACTATGTCGGGATTCTAGAATATTAAATAAATTTAAATTTATATAAATGTATGTGATTTTAAAAGTCTTACTACCTGCAAAAGCCAATAGCATCTTCGATGGAACGTTGGGAGTATGGCCGAGTGGACGTAACAACCGTATATGCACTGAAACAATAATAATATTAGGAAACAATAAAGGGCTGGTAAGAATTAATTTTGAATTCGATTAAGGAAGAGGCTTCAGTGTGATTAAAGAAAGAAAACAATTTGTATTTTGTTGAAAGGCCCGAACATGAAACAGAATTATTAGTCCGCCAGTAAGCAAGGGGGTGCGATCCATCCGTTCCATCTTTCTCTGCACAATGGAATCTAATAAAGCGGCACATATGGAGTTTGTTTAGTAATAAGGCAGTTTAAATTCATACAGGCCCTGCCTAGGCGACTTTGATTAAATCACAGTGTCATGTCACGCGCCAAACACAGAACAGAAGAAATGGGAAAAACGGCTTTTTGTAGAATCTCTTCTTCAATCTGAGCGAGTGTCACATAGCAAAACATATCCGCCGAACGAACGAAAGGGCGAATTGATATTGTGTTTCGCTTTAATCTCTTTCCGATTCCAAATTACGCGCGCCATGTCGTTAGCGTCAAGCTAACAAAACCCATTAACTGCCTTTCCAAACAAAAAATCTTTCGCCTCGCACAAAACGATACGTTCGATTTCGAGCAGCTTCTGTTGCGCTTCCGTCTTAATCTCTACAGACCCAATACATTTTAGTCGTTTTATTCAAAATCATTAAATGCGTAAATCCATTTGGTAAAAATTTGGATAGATCTGCATCGTTGAACTTTCTGTACTCGCTACAATTCAATTTAAAATATACCAAAATAATTATTTATAACCAGTAAGAAATTAATATATTATCTCATAAATACAACATTACCCAAATCTTACTTTAATTTCTTGTTAACTGAATCGCAAATTAATTTGCGTCAATAGAAGGCTGTTAAGGTTCATTACAGAGAAGGCTTTCATCTTAAATTGAGGATAAGCGTAAAACTTTTGCGAGGATGCAAATCTGATTATTAATACCAAAAGCAGAGAGCACCGACAGAGCGTGCATACAGTCAATTGTTATTGCACAGTGTATAACTTTGCGCGCAAAACACATCCAATTATTTTCAATGATCTAGAAATCTGATATGCAACGATGTCGGGGATAATGTTTAATGTTTATGTGCATCTGACCCGCGTGTTTGTCTTCATGTGCGCATATCAATTGCTATTGTGTTGTGGAGATATACCTATCTATCTATCCATCAGTCCAGAGCGGTCACCTGAGTTGTTTGTTTGGATTTAATCAAACTAAATCAATTTTGTAGAGAGCAATCTAACTTACTTGACCACGTACGCAGACCATACAAGACCAATTTATTTATTTAAGAGAAAAACATTTTAATTTGTCGCTTAGATGTAATGGAATCCTGAGGAGATAAAAATGACCTTGTTGGTTGGTTAACGTTAAAGAAACATGTTTAATATAAAAAATTATTTTAAATCACTCTATATTCAAGGAATAATATTTCTGGAATACCAACAGGACTAAATTCATTAATAACAAGTCTTCATAAATAAATAAATATCTTTATTATTAGCATAAGCTATTTTTTCTTTTACATAAGATAAAATATATTTCTTAAAACTAATTAAAGTGTCACAGTTTTTAATTTCATTTGGTAAATTGTTAAATAATTTTAGCCCATTAACAAAAACACTTTTTGTAGTACGCACTTTGTTAAAATTTTTAACATAAAAATCATTATTTTGTCTAGTACCGTAATTATGGATGTTTTGGACTAAATGCAATTTATCGTATAAGTTTGATGGTATACCATACCGGTAATAATCCAATTTTAATTTTAAAAATATATATTAAAGTTTTATAATTTTTATATTGATTTACACTTAATAGGTATATTTAAAGTTTCTAACATTAGTTTAATGGGGGTATATTTACTACATTTTAACACAATGCGTAGTACTTTATTCTGTAATTTTTGCAATTTTTGCATTTCATTTTTGTTTATATTGAATAATATTGTGGAACAAAATTCAAAGTGCGGGGCTATAATAGCTATAATAGTTTGAAAGGTACCTAAACCTTTTTAATGGTAGCCGAACTGTGTAATCTAAAAATTGCATCAAATGTTATAAAAACCTAACCTTAAAGTTTGTATGGGACAATAAGCTTAAAGCAACCTCCGTTTCTACGACACTGTGTTCACTTAAACAATTATAATTATGTGTGAATATGTGTTTTGGTAGTAAGCGACTGTTCGCAACATATCACCTTTCCAAGACTACCATAGTAGAGGTAATATTCAAAAAACTAATATGATAAGTAACACTTCATCACCCTGTATCTTGGAAACATAATTAATTAGGAAAAATATTTATTTGGGTTTTCGTCTTATTTTGACTTGCTCAATATTTTCCTAAATTTATGCCAATAAGTTTAGGGACACCTTGTATAATAAGAATTTTATAAAAAGTGATAAGCTTACACTGTTAATGAAAGATACTGTTATTTATATTAGGGTTTAATGATCTATCCAGAATGAAAAAAAAACGAAAAAACACGTTTTTTTTTCTGAATACACAGACTATGTATACACTGTGGCTCCTGACTCAGAAGCAATTGCTTCTGAGTCAGGAGCCACAGTGTATACATAGTCTGTGTATTCAGAAAAAAAACGTGTTTTTTCGTTTATTTTTATTTTGGATAGATAATTAAACCCTAATATAAATAACAGTTTCTTTCATTTATTATTATTTTGTCGGGTTCCATAAAATAAAAGGAATTTATTAAATGTGGTCCTAAAAGTTTACATACATACTACATATTAGGGTGGTCGTTATTTCAGGTAAAAAAAATTAAAGCGGCTGCCCCTGAAATTGACTCAAAATAGGAAAAAAAAAGTGTGCAAAATTTCGGCCCTATAGGTCTATCGTAGATTACCCCTGTGAATCAATTAAGGGCGCACCATTGGTAACTTCGTTATTGTTGATCCTATGATGTCGGTCAAATTAGCAAACAATCAGTATTTTTTCTGCTGATTGCGAAGGTAAAACGATAAAAATAATTAAACCATACACTTTGAAGATATTCAAAGATGAAAATTTGTTTTATTTATATCACCTTGCAAATTCGTGATCATATTATAATTTTTTTAACGTATCAGAAATTGCATTTCCTTTAAAATGATGTGTCGCCAGGTATAGGGTAACATTTAAAAATTTTTAGTAAGGGTAGCTGGAGGTAAGAGGGTGCAACATAAAATTTTTTTAACACTGGATTTGTACTTTCCCCTTCCAAATCTAAATCGACCTGTTTTTGCCCAATATCATATTTACTCTAACTTAAAAGTTATAAATGGTGGCTAGTTGTTAAAATATTATGTTATTTATTATAATTATAGGTACTAATGCTATAAGACAAACTTATTACAAAGGAAAAACTTTATTTTGTCGCTTAATCCTAATTGAATGGCAAGAAAAGAAACAAAAAGCGACTTAATTTCTCTCGGAGAAGAACGTAAAAAGAAAAATGTGGAATGTGGCGAAAAAATAATTGAAATATGCATTTTTTAAGTTGGAAATCTTGTGTCCGCTTTGGGTTCATGTAAAATGCAGCAACTTCTCGGCCTTAAAAAGATATATTACACCAAGGTAATTCATTCTCACCCATTAAATGCGGGTTAAAAAACCATAAACATTTTTACGTCTCTCGGATGAGCTGGCTCTGTTTTCTTTTTTTACCTCCTCCCCCTTTATTCTATCCACTCCTTGTTAGGTGCTCTCTCCACTTAATTATACACGGCCGCACGGCCACCGAAATCTGTATAATTTAATGCGGGATTAATTTTTTCGAGCGCAATTTAATTAAGCCGAATAATTGAGGTAACTTATTTCTTTTTCTTTCTTTTCTTTAAGGTCATTTACCATCTCATGAAGCAAGAAATTGAGACGGACATTTTTTAAACTGCAAATTCAAGCTTTTGTCTTCCATATTTATATTAAGAAACATTCTTAGGTCATAAAAATAATATTAGGTATAATATTATTAAATTATAGAAATGTATCTTTGATATTTAGTCCCAATTATCACATACATTTTAATCTGTATAAACAGCACAAACCCAAAGCTCAAGAGTTGTAAACAACATTATAAATGGCCGCCGTTAAAGTCTGTGCGGTGGGTTGCCTAAACAAGATAGAACAGACCTTGTTGTGAGGATTGTGAGGTAATATAAAGCATTTACCAATTATTGGTAAATGCTTTATATTACCTCACAATCCTCACAACAAGGTCCGAATTCACGGTGGCCATGTTTTAAAAAAGTCTTTGTGACATTTTCCGTCGTTTCGTTCAGTAAGGTTTGAAGTTTCACTTTGAATCATTTTATTCTTTCTCAATGTTTACTAATTGTTCAAACGTATTATCAAAATTCGAGTTCTGAAGAGCACTTTGCACAGAAAATCGTAGTTTCTGATGTGGCGCATTTTTGTCTGAATGACCTCGTTAATAGGCAAAATTGAAGTGAATAGAAACCACAAGCGATACACGAGTCTCCTTTGCATATGTAAAGAATCTCTGTTTGGTGTGGATTATGGCACGGATGCGCGGATGCATCATTGATCATTATTTTTTGTTAGTGAGGAAAAAAGCTTTACTATGAAAAGAGAACAGTATCGTTCGATGTTAACCTATTATTTTTGGCATATATTATTATTATGATTATTATTAATATTTTTATCATTAATATTTTAATTTATTTATAGTATATTATAACTATTAAAAGTTTACGTAATACCATAGATACTAAATTTTATTACCTATAGGTAATAAAATTTATATATAGTATCACATAGACTCGCGCGAAAAATTTAGTAGGTCAATAATTGCAAGCAATCTCTCTTAAAATAAATTGGTAAAAAATTACTAATTACACAGTGCAACAGTGCAAAAGGGAATGGGATGAAACCAAATGCAAATGAAAGGTAATAGCTTCTACAACAAAACCCTACTATGTTTTTTCTAGATCACATCTCAGTTGTTTATTATACGCATTTAAAGATGGTAGATTTTTGGACGCCCTATAGT